TGACACAGGCATCTGAGGGTTAGGAGAGCCCTCAGGATCACTAGATCCAACTTTCTGCCTTCAGCCAAGGCAAGCTTGCTTGCTTGCTTTTTTTTGACAGTCTCACTCTGTCTCTAGGCTGGAGCGCAGTGACGCGATCTTGGCTCACTGCAAACTCTGTCTCCCAGGTTCAAGCAATTCTCTGCCTCAGCCTCCCGAGTAGTTGGGATTACAGGTGCCCGCCACCACGCCCGGCTAATTGGCAAGCTTTCATTATGGGCATTTTACAGGTGAAACAACTGAGGCCCAGAGGCCCGGAGTAAGTAAGGCTTAGTCTAGATTTAGGAATATTTTAAGCTCCATCTCAAATGACATCAGCTATAGCCAGTTTCTCTAAGATTGCAATGATTCTAACATGGACCAGAAGCTAACACTTCAAACATGGATTTAAATGGCACATGTGGGAGCTTCTAAATCTGTGAGTTAACTTGGAGTTTCTCTATGGAGGGATGGGAAGAGTTCCAGGTTTCAAGTAAGGGAGACTCGGGTGAAAATCCTGACTCAGCCACTTCCCAGCCATATGACCTTGAGCAAATCACGTAACCTTTCTGAACCTCATTTTTCTCATCCATGAAATGGGCACAATACTCTATGATTTAGAGTTCATTTAATAGATGCTTTAAGATGACTAAGACAGGTGCTGCCCTCACAGACATCTTTCTGGTGACTAAATAAAAACTCATAGTCGGGTGCAGTGGCTCATGCCTGTAATTCCAGCACTTTGGGAGGCTGAGGCGGGTGGATCATTTGAAGTCAGGAGTTTGAGACCAGCCTGGCTAACATGGTAAGCCCCCACCCCCCATCTCTACTAAAAATACAAAAATTAGCCGGGCATGGTGGGCACCTGTAATCCTAGCTACTTGGGAGGCTGAGGCAGGAGAATCACTTGAACCCGGGAGACAGAGTCTACAGTGAGCTGAAATCATGCCACTGCACTCCAGCCTCGGTGACAGAGTGAAACTTTGTCTCAAAAAACAAACAAACAAACAAACTCATGTCAAGAACCAGGCTCCTGGGTGCTCACAGTAGGTGAACATTCTTTTCCCCATACACCTACAGGACATCATTCTCAGACCCAAGAAGTCACTAGGGAGTTCCAATCAGCCTGAGGGATCCCATGGCCTCATCACAAGAACACCAAGGTATAACGAGGGCTGATGTGTGCCAGGTGCTGCCTTGGCCACTTTATGCAAATACTCTCACCATGGATAGGGGCTGTATCTCCCCATTTTTACGGATGAGGAGACTGAGGCTGAGCTGTCTGTTTGTCTCCAGAGCACATGTGCCTGCTGAGTCAGGCAGGCTCCTGCTGGCAGTTCTGTAATGCAGGGAAGCTGGATGCCATGCTCAGCTGCTGAGCTGGCTTCCCCAGGCTGTCAGCTGTGCTCACAGGACAGTAGGAGGTTGTCCCATGAATCACCCCTACACAGAGGACAATGAGGTCACTTCAGGATGGAGCTGAACTGGGGCCTGCCTTACGCTTCTGGCAGCTCTATCATTCCCTTGAGATCTGCCGACGGCAAAGAGGTCGGAAACTCCCTGAGGCTCATCCAACCGGTACCAGCTCACACACAACCAGATGCTGTAGGGGGTTCAGAGAGGTTTGAAACTAAGGCTTATAGAGGGAAGTACCTGAACTTCGGAGTAGGAGGCAAACAGAAGGTAGTGAATAGCTTCTTCGGAGCACCTACTATGTGCCAGGCATTTTTTTTAAGACAGGGTTTCACCATGTAGGTCAGACTGGTCTTGAACTCCCGACCTGAGGTGATCCACCTGCCTTGGCCTCCAAAGTGCTGCGATTACAGGCGTGAGCCACTGCACCCCTCCTGTGCCAGGAATTTAAACCTTTAAGTGGCAGAAAACATCACCTAGTCCAGTGGGACTTGTTTAAATACAGATTCTAGGTCCCACTCCTGGAGTTTCTGATTCAGGACTGGGATGGGGTCTGAGAATTTGCATTTCTAAAAGATTTCCAGGTGATGCTGTAGCAGCTGGTCCAGGGACTATATTTTGAAAATAACTATTTCAACCTCCTTTCCTCTGCTTAATGGTGGTTCTTAATTTTCTTCTTACATACCTTCAGAGACAGAGAACTCATTGTCTATTCAGTCAGCCTATTTCATGTCTAGATAGTTCTTACTTTGAACATATGAGTGTGAGTGTGTGTGCTCATGCTGAGCTGAACACTCGCCCTGTGCCCTCTGGACCACAATGGTCTCATTAGAAAGGAGCAATGGCCAGACGCGGTGGTTCATGGCTGTAATCCCAGCACTTTGGGAGGCTGAGGCTGGAGAATTGCTTAAGCCCAGGAGTTCAAGACCAGCCTAGACAACACAGCAGACCCTGTCTCTACAAAAAATTTAAAAAAATAAAAGTTAGTGGGTGTGGTGGTGCACACCTGTAGTCCCAGCTACTTGGGAGGCTGAGGTAGGAAGATCGCTCAACCCGAGTTCAAGGTTTCAGTGAGCTAGGATTGTACCACTGTACTCCAGCCTGGGCAACAGAACGAGATCCTGTCTCTACAAATTAATATATCCAAATATCATTTTAATAGATAATCAATACAGAAATTATTAATGAGCTATTATACATATATAGTGTGTGTATATATATATATACACATATGTTTTTCATACCAAGTCTTTAAATCTAGTGTTATTTTACACTCACAGCACATCTCAGTCCTGACCAGCCATGTGTCAAGGGCTCCATAACCACATGTGGCTGGTGGCTACTGTTCTGGACAGTGCAGCTCTCTAAACTTCCCATGACCCTGTCCCTAGTCCGCATTTCCTCTGCATGGCTCATGCTCACGCAGAGGCTGGATCCTCACAGCTTCCCCACCAGCCCACAGCACAGCAGCCAAGTCCCTTTTTTTTTTTTTGAGATGAGATCTCACTCTCTTGCCCTGGCTAGAGTGCAGTGGTGTGATCTCAGCTCACGGCAACCTCCATCTCCCAGGCTCAAGTGACCCTCCCACCTCAGCCTCCCAAGTAGTGGGAACCACAGACAGGCACCACCATACCAGACTAATTTTTTGTATATTCAATAGAGATGGAGTTTGGCCATGTTGGCCAGGCTGGTCTCGAACTCCTGGACTCAAGTGATTCACCCGACTCGACCTCCCAAAGTACTGGGATTATAGGCGTAAGCCACGGCACCCAGGCAAAATCGTTATCTTAAATGCAGGTTTGGTCATGTCCCTCTCAGGTGGCTCCCCGTCACTCTCAGGATGTCTGGCTGCTGAGGCCCTGCATCTCTTGCTTCCCCTTCTCCCCTCTCTATCCCCAAAGCCCCCACTCTCTGGCTGTGCAGAATTATTTGCAGATCCTCAACATGATAGTGCTCCTCCCCTCTCAGCCGTCACACACATGGCTCCCCCTGCATGGAATGTCTTGGAACACTTCTTGGGCTAACCTTTCGGGTTACTCATTCATTCAATACATTTATGAGGGCCAGATGCAGGGGCTTACACCTGTAATCCAGAGCTTTAGGGGGCCAAGACTGGAGGGTTGCTCGAGGCTAGGAGTTCAAGACCAGCCTAACATAGCAAGACCTTGTCCCTACAAAAATTATAAAAATCAGCCAGGTGTGGTGGTGTATGCCTGTAGTCCCAGCTACTCAGCAGGCCGAGGTAGGAGGATGGCTTGAGCCCAGGAGTTTGGAGCGATGATCATGCCACTGCACTCCAGCCTGAGCAACAGAGTAAGACCCTGACTCAAAAAAAAAAAAATTAGTGAGCACCTACTATGTGTCAGACATGATCCTAGGTCCTGCAGCAAAGCAATACATATTGAGGAATAGGCATAACAAGAAAATACACAGTATAGCAGACGGTGAGCAGTGAAGCAGGCGAGAGGGAAAGTTGGTGCGGGGTTACTACTTTAAGCAGAGTGGTCAGAGAAGCTTCATGCAGAAGTTGAGTTGTGAGCAGAGAGCTGAAGTGAGGGAGGGGCCAGGTGGCTTTCTAGGGGGTGAGGACTCCAGGCGGAGGGGACAGCCAGGACAAAGACCCTGAGGAGGGAGCCTACCTGTGGCGACTGGAACTGTTCCAGTGTTACTGGAGCAGAGTGAGGGAGGAAGTCATAGGAACCAAGGCCAGAGAGGGCCAGAGGTGTGGGGTAGATCTCACGGGAACTTGTAAGACCTTTTTTACCCTGAGTGTGGCAGGAATGTGGCAGTGCTGGGTGGGGAGGGACAAGGGCTGCCTTGGATTTGAAGAGGACCCCCTGGCTGCCGGGCTGATGGGAATACTCAGGGGAGAGGGCCGGAGCAGGGAGCCCAGTGATGTTGCTGGCTGGATCAAGGTGACAGTTGAGAAATGGAGAGGAGGGGCTAGATTCAGGCTATACTGAAGGTGGAACCAACAGGATTTTCCAGATGGGTCAGATACAGAACGTGAGAAAGCAAAGTGTTAAGAATGACTCCAAGATTTGGGGCCTGAGCTTAGGGTATGGATGACCCCTCTTCCAGAAAGTCCTCCCGGGGAGCCCACAGCTCCCTGGGCCTTGCCTGTTTCCCTCCAAGGCTGGGGGCTCCGGTGGTAGGACGTGTTTCCTGTCCTGCTTCCACAGCGTTGGATAAGTGAGAGGTGAGAGGCAGGCTGAGCTGGAGACCTGCGCTCGGCTGTGCGAGGCCTGACACTGCTCCTCTTGCCTCTCTAGGGGCCTGTGTTTTCCCACTTGCGCAAGACAAGTGGGTGTTCCCCAAAGGCGCCTCTAGCTGTAGCATAGTTTCTTCCCTAGGAGCGGGCACTGCCAGCCTCCTGAGCCCCAGGCCTTCTCTCCTGCTCCCTGCCCAACCTCAGCCTCCTGGGAGCATTGTAGTATCTTCCTTCACCTCTGGGACCCACGGGGCAGGTTGGGACACATGGCTGGGGCCTGAGTCAGGCTCACCAATGTGGGTGGAGGGGGTACCTGGACACGCGCCCTCCTCCCTTCCCAGAGCTTGGTACAGCCAAGGGTGGCACAGCTGCCCTCATTTCACTGCCTCTTGGAGTCCAAGAGCATGGCTGTGGCCCTGGGGCAGGCCAGTCATGTAGCTGCCCCACCTGCCCCTCCTGCGGTGTTGCAGGGAAGAGTCAAGTCAGACAGGAAGGCCTGGGGCTGATAGCACCAGCAGGAAGGAATGCCACCCCAGTGAGCAAGTGGGTCCCAGGGGCAACGTCACGATAGTCCCGCCCTCCTTGCTGTCACGGGTGCAGCCTGTGTCCTCTCCTTCCCCTGACCAGCCCAGGATCCACACAGTCTACACAGAGCTCCCCTTGCTGCCCAGACAAGCTGAAGGACCACAGGTAATGGGACATGGGGCTGGGTGAGCAGTGGGGTGGAGGGTCAGCTTTTAAGGGAATTGAGAAAAAGAGTGTCCTCAATAGTCTTGATACTGTGTGATTCCTTGGTGGACCTGGGTTTGAGTCCCACCTCTGCATCTTCCTAGCTGGGTGAGAACCTGTCTCTGTCTGAGGGAAGGATGACAAATATTCACCTCCCCACGCGGTTTTGAGGCTTCCACCAGCCTCTACCTGGCTGTGGTAGGTGACCAGCTCCCAATTCTGTCACCAACTTGCTGTAAGACTTTCAGAAAAACCCTTGACCTCTCTGAGCCTCGGTTTCCCTACTTGTGAAATGAAGGGTCCACCTAGATCTCTGAAGGCTCCTCACACCCTCACTATTATGGAACCTAATAGCTTAAGAGAAGAGGTGTGTTCCTCCAAATGTCTCAGCCTCTGCACCACGATCAGTGACTGCAGGCAGCTGCCCCTCTCTCCACCCCTCCTGGAGGAAGCCGCCCTGAGCTGCCAGCCAGGCCTAGGAGGCTTGGGAGGAAGAAACTATTTGTCCCCTGCCTTCAGCTCAAAGGCGCCCCTGGGGAGGATATGCCAAACAGAGAGCTGGGCCATGAGGAGGGGTCCTGCTGCCAGTCAGAGCCTCAGGGGCAGGTGGTGTGGCCCAAGGGGAGGGGGGCTTGGCAGACCTCTCAGAGCTCCCCCACCCATCCCCTAGGTGGGATGACCCAACCCTAGGCTGTCATCCTCCTCCTGCAGCTGTCTCTGCTCAGAGCACCCTGGCTTTCAGACCTCAAGTCAACCTAGTTTCCTTTTAAGGGGGATGAGAATGATGATGGTCTTGTGCTTATTATTTTCTTCTGTTTTGTTAAGAAACTGCCCAGCAGAGTTTAGAGCCCTAACTAAGGAGTCAGGAGGGTGTGTTAGGGGGAGTGGTGGGAGTGAACTCAGACTAGTGTAGCCCTATAGCACCAGGTTACCTGTGCTTAGAAATCCTCCTCGCGAAAAGGATCAGAGAGCAAGAGAGAGATCTCGCGCCCTGGCTGCGCGCCAGGGACCATGCTGGGCCTGCCTGGCTCCCTGCCTTATTTCACTTTCACAACACCCCTGTGGTGGAATCTTTGTAATTTACTACTATAAAATTCACTCTTTTAAAGTGTACAATTCAGGGCCAGGCGCGGTGGCTCACACATACAATCCCAGTACTTTGGGAGGCTCAGGTGGGCAGATCACTTGAGGTCAGGAGCTCGAGACCAGCCTGGCCAACATGACAAAACCTTATCTCTACTAAAAATGCAAAAATTAGCCAGATGTGGTGGCACGCACCTGTAATCCCAGCTACTCAGCAGACTGAGGTGTGAGAATCACTTGAACCCAGGAAGCAGAGGTTGCAGTGAGCCAAGATTGCACCAATTCACTCCAGTCTGGGTGAAAGGGAGATTCTGTCTCTAAATAAACAAGTAAATAGATAGATAGATAAAAATACAGTTTACAATTCAGTGTTTTTGTGTATTCACAGTTGTGCAGCCAGCGCCACTATCTAATTTTTTTATCATCTCCAAGGTGAACCCTGTAGCCGTTAGCAGTCACTCTTCACTTCTCCATCCCCTGGCAACAACAAACCTACTCTCCGTCTCTATGGAGTTCTGTATTCTAGACATTTCATCTGAATGGAATCATACAGTGTGTGTCCTTTCCGAGTGGCTTCTTTCACTCACCCAGTATCGTCAAGGCTCACCTGCATTGCAGGGGGAGGGCATCCCTCCTTCCTCCCAGTGGTTGGATGACGTTGCATTGTACGAGGATCTCACATTTTGTGTCTCCATTTGCCAGGGGATGGACATTTGGGTTGTTTCTACTTTGTGGCTGTTATATGTAACGCTGCTGTAAACATTCATTACAAGTCTTTGTGAGGATGTAGGTTTTCAATTCTCTTGGGAATATACTTGGGATTGGAATTGCTGGGTCACGTAGTAAATATTTTTTTTTTTTTTTAGTAAATCTTTTTTAACCTTTTGAGGAGCTGCCAAACTGTTTTCCAAAGTGACTGCCCTTTTATAATCTGACCAGCGACATCGGAGGGCTCTGGTTTCTTTGCACCCTCACCAACACTTGTTACTGTCTGTATGTCTCATTGTAAGCCACCCTAGCGTGTATAAAGGGGCGTCTCATGGTGGTTTTGATTCGCACTTCCTTAATGACTAATGATGTGGAGCAGCTTTCTATGTGCTATTGACTATTTCTGTGTCTTCTTTCAAGAAATGTCTATTCAAATCCTCTGTCCCTTTTTAAACTGGATTATTTGTCATTGTATTGTTGAGTTGTAGGCATGCCCATTTGCTAACTAAGGGTTCTGAAGCTCTGGAATGGATGTGACATGCTCCAGGTCTCAGAGTCAGTGAGGGGTAGAGGTGGGAACTGAATGTCTAGGTCTGTCTGATGTTCAAGAGAACTGACAAGCTCTTGTACTGGTTGCCACCTTCTGTTTCTTATTGTCAGTTGTGTGTGTGTGTGTGTGTGTGTGTGAGAGAGAGAGAGAGAGAGAGAGAGAGGCGGGGAGAAACAGAGGGAGAAAGA